GTTTCAAACTTCTTGGGTACCTCCCTAACCACACAGAAATCTTCAGAAAGTTCTTCAGGAATCTGTTTATGCTTCATCAAGTAACTTGTCATTATAATGTCTGCTGAGTCTAGATGCCCTTTAGTTTCTTTTGAAGTTGTCTCAGAGTTTTCATCCACTTCCGTGTCACTGTCTGTGTCATCAAAGTGCATAAGTAAGTCTTGTTGTTCTTGAAAAATCCACCACATGCACAGGTAACGATGAACACATCGGGTGGGATTACTTGTGCCTTTGCACCGGCAACTCCATTAACCAGTTTCAGTGTCAAAACTGACCCGGGTTCTACCAAATTTGCACCAATTGTCACTTTCTCTGGTGTACACAGAAAAGTGCACATACCTTTTTGAAAATCCAAAGTCACCATAAAACACAGGATAGACACAGCAAGATGTTTCTTTGCAGGCATTATTGTTCAGTTTGATGCATTCATTGACCCTGGATGAAGACATCAAGCCTTTATCCATCATGTTTTGAAGGCTATCGTCCTTAAGCGCAGCTGGAGGAATATGAACTGATGCTGTCTGTACTCTGTTGAGATGAAGGCATTCTCTCCCTGGTCTTCCACTTCTTTCTGCTATATCCATGTATTGCTTACAGTTATCAACTTCACATGCAATTACTTGATTTTTTATGGATTTCATGACATGGATGGGAACACGAACTCCAGTTTTATCCTTGGCAGTGAAGAAGATCCCCCTCTTCTCATCAATGCAAAATATGGGTTCTGTCACACTTGCATGGATTATATTTTGGTGCCGTCTGAAATTGTATTCACTTGAAAATGTGACGTGGCATGTGTGACATTTCACTGTACCCTCAGGTTCTTTTTTTATAGTCTCTTCTTGCAGTTTTGACTTTTGTTCAGATGGCTCTAACAAAGAATGAATCACACATTATGGATTAACTAAAGGTATTTATGTCACATAGCTTTGAAATTTAATCTTTCAAAAATTACTTTGGCAAAACTGAGGTTTTATATAGTACTTTTTAGTACATTTCCAGAAGACTAAATTATTGAGCTATGAAGGTGTACCATGAGTTCAAAATTGATTTACAACCTAAACTAAAAAATGTATGGGCCTTTGATTAAATAAAAAGTTATGTCTGTTACATGTATGCACATCTAAAAAATTTGACATGCTATGATTCCTTCATAGATAACATATTTGAGTAAGAAGAACAGTCTACAGTATTTTCCCTCCCCTGATTCCCTCTGGTTTTGCATATTTGTCACACTTAATTGTAAATGCGGTGTAAGAAATAGAGAACATATTACCACTCTGGAGCATTACAAACATTATTTTGGAAATCCAGTGCTTTTCTCACTTTTGTTTATATTTTGGTTTCTTAATCAATCAGAAATATTTAACCCTAGCACATATGATCTTTTACATATTAATCAAAGATAACTGCTCTCAAGTATTTGAGAGGATTAGCTCCTTTTGTGAAAATATATGGTCAAAAAGGCCTATAAAATTGAGTTTTACTTGTGAACCAATTGTAAATTATTTGATTGAATAGCTTCAAATAATGCATCCAGAATGGAATAATTATGATAATTATAAAAGATTATATTTCATAGATGAAATATCATACAATTTGGCATAAGGTAAAGCTTCTAAAAGTGAACCTGTTGTGGAAATGTATTAATTGGAAATCAGTTTTAAAGTGAAGTATTCTTAGAGTTATATTTAGTTAGTTAATATTTCAGTTCAGCTTAGTTTAGTAATTACGTAAGCAGGTCCTTTATTATTCCATTTAAATCCTAAAGGTAATTAACCTTAAAAAATTAATTACTGAAAAAGTAATTGGACCACAGATATTACAGATATTTTTTGTGAAAATCTATAATGTTGCCAGGTAGGCGCTAGGTCAGACTATTGTTTTTTTGCTTTGCAAGCAGAGTACTTCTACGTATATTGTTATATGCAGAGCAGAAAACTTACCTGTTTTTTCTACCTTTTTGGTGAAATAGCCTGTAATAAATATGAAAGGTTTAAATTAGTTGTGTCTAATGTAACAGTTAATTATTACTAAATATTTAATTATTTTTGTCAGCAATAAGTAACATGTTTTTAAAAGGAATTTGTAATGTTTCTTATACGTACCATGAGAATTTAAATGAACTTCAAAGTTTGAACGTTTAAGAATAATTTTCCCACACTGGGGGCAATGCCAGTGACTTCTTATTGAATCCTTAACCTCTGCACACATGCATGGTATTGTGAATCTGTCTGAAAAGAAAATATATTTTAGTAGTTATAGTCTATTAGACCATTATATGAAAGGTCTTATAGGCCAATATTAAAATTTTTCTTATCCTATTCTTTTACACATATTATCAAGTCTCTTACACATACAACCAAAACTCTTATGAAACCTCCTACACACATCAAATGCTCTTCACAAACTCATGCTTAACTGTGTTTTAGTGAGTGTGAGAGAGTTTGGCAGTTTGTGTGACAGTGCATGGTTAGCATGCCAGAGAGTATAGAGCGTGTGAGACTTTGATAGTGTGTGAGAGACGGTTTTATAATCATGGTTTCTGGTTGGCTTCCACAGAAAATTTGCAGACAACTTCAAGACCACACTAGGACTTTTCATCCACCATGCAGCAGTCTGAAGAAGTAAGGGAATGACCAATACAAGTGTAACTGAAGCATTGGTCATCTTTCTTCTTCAGACTGCAGCATGATGTGTAAAAGTAAAGAAGTTGTCCTTTGTGGTCAGAAAGTTGTCTGCAACTTCTCTTAACCTTTTCTAAGCTCTTTCACACTCTATTATACAATAAACACACTACCGCTGTCACAATCCCAATAACAGAATGAAATATCACTGTCAGAGAGTTTGGCAGTGTGTGTACAAGTTTTGGTGATGCGTGTGAGAGTGTGTTAAAGAGTGTAAGAGGTTTTATAGTGTATGTGACAGCTAATTATGTTTGAATGTTAGTTTAAAGGGCCTCACATATTCTTTTGGAATTGACTTGCCGAGTCAACAATAATGTAACCTCTGATTTTTAATTTTAATAACACTTTAGTTTGAGTGGTCCTTGGTAAATGATTAATAAACACTTAAAAGTGTATCGGCAACATATTCACAATATTTCAGTGAAGAAGCTGTATCTTAATCCTAATCCTAACCCTAACCTGAAGCTCAACCCAAAACCTAAAAACCCTTACCCTGGCCCTAATCATAAAATCAACCAAAAGCTAATCCAGCTAAGCTTCAGTTACAGAATGGTGTCAGCAGTGTGTCTTGTTGAGGATGTTGAGATGGTCTGTATTAGATCTGTTACATGTTCAGTGAATTTTCAGATTAACATCTACAGATATAAACTTGGTCACTTAAAGTGAGAAACAACAGAATTCGACCGATTAAAAAAATCTTTATGCAGTTAATTAAAATGTCAGTAATCTACTAAAAGTATTCAGATGATTCACTGCTGCTACATCATTGATATCGTGTTGATGTTATTGAGAGTCTGTTGAGTATTTAATCTGAAAAGCACCACTCAAAATAAAGTGTTACCTTACTTTTTTTAGCACATAAACCGATCAAATTTAGACAAAGGTAAATATGAAACGTAAAATTGTGTACATGTTTGGTGATCCTCTCTAATGTAACTCTCATAGCAAACAATATAAAGGCAAATATTACAAAAAAACTTGAATAAAATGCTTACCTTTTTATCTGCATAATATATGGCATATCTCAAATGTTTAGACGACAGATGTCTTTCCGAGCAGATGGTCGTCTTCTTGCAGTAGGGGCATTGTGAACTGTTTGCTTTTTTTTCCAGTTCTGTCACCGATGCAAATTCGGTACTTTGCCTGTTTCCCCGATAATCAATGTCAGTATATTCTACTAATTATACAAACGTTACATATACATAAAAATATAATCTAACAGGCTGAATGAATTAGTTACGTTGGACTACGCCTTACCTGACATGATCACAAAACCGTCATAGCCTGATAAAGTAATACAGTCACGTGACTCAACTCAGTTTAAACTTCGGTGTAAATCTTTTTATGATTCATCAAACACTTATTAAATATATACATTTACATCAGACATATAGTATGCTAGTGCCTGGTTACTGCTTTATAATGTGAAAAATCATGGGGTGTTTGTTGGGGTTGAAGAGCATCATGCCTGTGACGTCATGCAGGAGTATTTATTCACAACAAGTTATAGTTGTGAAGCAATCATTATCTTTACCAGCAAACAGCGTTCAGCAGAATCATACATGGATTCCCAGAGAGGGATTAAGCGTATGTCTGGATTGTATTTCCCATTAAATGGAAAATAGTACTCTGGAACAAGACTTAATCCCTGTACAGGAAACTGACCCCAACTGTAAGAAAAGCATGCTGTTAGATGAAAAAAAAGACACATGGAAGGCTTTTTAATAGATTGTGTGGGCAGAACTGTTATACAAAGCATTTAATATACTTTTCATGTGTTAAAACTTTTGCCGCTGTTCCGCTGTGTGTACCGGCACAGAAGCCGCTGTTCCGCTGTGTGTACCGGCACAGAAGCCGCTGTACCGCTGTGTGTACCGGGACAGAAGCCGCTTTGCCGCTGTGTGTACCGGCACAGAAGCCGCTATGCCGCTGTGTGTACCGGGACAGAAGCCGCTGTCCCGTACTTCCGGGATTTCTGTGACGGAACAAAGGGGGACGGCACAGTAACATCTCGGCTACAACTCCTACTGAAATGGTGTTTGTAATTGCATATCTCATAGCAGTATGCATTATTTAAGACACAATTCGAATTTGAATGCAAACATATTTGCGTTTTAATTTATTGTATTGTATAATAGCTGGAAACTTTTAATATAGAAAAGCAGCGTTTTGACCATTCATTTTCATTATCTTAATATGGTCTGACTCTGACATTAAAAAACGCCCATTTTATTGTATTTCGTCATCATTACCCTTCAGCTCTGCCAAAATGAATATTTGCAATCCTGTTTGCAACTGCATTTCCACTGTCAGCAAGGCAGTCCTGTCATTTAAGCGCTGTGGGTTTGTTGGATGTATCAAGCGGGTTAAAGAAGACGCGATATCCATCTGAACGGACACCAATCACTGCCCCTTTGGACCCCGTTTGAGAAAGTCCTCAGCGAGCCGCCCACAGCACACAGCGCTACTGTCCACATTGGTCCAGGTGAGTAAACGTTAGCTGGCCGTTTTAGGTAGACCTTTTGCCATATACGAGTCACTAAGCTTACAAAGAATTTTTTAAATATTAGCTAGTGTTATCGTTTGTTCATGAATAGAGGGTATGTGTTAGCCAGCTAGCTAGCTAGTTAGTATTTGATACAGTTGCTGAAGCTGTCTTGCTAAGGTTAGCTAGTGCTAGAACAGTCGTGCTAACTACGGGAAACATAGCGGTCGGTTGGGCACGGCATTAACGCAGATTTAAAGATTTGTCTGTACTGGCTGAATATAGCGAATTAAAACCTTATTAACGAAGGTAACGGTCATTTTATTTCCCTTTATTCAGTGTGATTGATGATGAAGGTCCTGATAAAAGCTAAGCTCGCTAGCTAACGCTATTGATTCATCACGACAACACACGTTTTCTGAAATTAGCTGTTTCTGTTGTTGCCCTGTATAAGTATTTGCTAATAACTTCTTAGAAACACCCCAAATTATCATTCTAGTAAAACGCTAACGTGAATAGCAGCTGTATATTGTGAATGTAGCACTCCATATAGCGTCTACGTCGGTGTTCATCTTGGATTTTTGCGCGGGCTCATTTGTAAAAGTTAGCCGTTAGCTATATTGAGCTGATTTACCTAAGCTTGTGGTCACATACATGAATAGCTCGAGGCTCATTTTAAAACTGCCAGGAGCATATTTTTATTTTGAAACGAAATACCACAATTAATGATTATTTTACCAAATTTGAAAGTAGTTAGCTTATGCAGCTAGGTAATTTGAGTAGCTAACTCTAGCTAGCTAGCTAGCTTATTTTTTTATACAGCTGCAGAAGCTACAGCTGTGTTTCTAGATGTTGGTAGGGAGGGGAAATGTGGCAGTCATTCTGACGCTTCGTTCATTAGCTTTGGCTACACAAGTTGAAATCATTAGTGAGGTTTTCTTAGACAATGAAATGTCCTATCAGAGATCAGTTACTGAATTAACTGTAGCTGACTGTCATCTTTTGCAAACAAATATTTGTTTCAGAAGCTGACTGGATTTGTCTGTGTGCCACAACAACATACTGGCAGTGGTCAATTAATGTGCACAAGTTAAAAAAGTAAGTATTATCGCAAACAGAATAGAACGTAATGTGTTAACAATTTATGCACCGGTTTCCTGGTTATCAGTTGCCACACTCATTTTATGACTAAGAGCCTATTTAAAGGAATGGTTCAGCAAAATATAAAATTTAAACAATTTTCTGCTTACCCCCAATGTAGTCTTTTGGCCAAGACATAATTGGTGTCCAAAGTTTGTGTCTTTAGTTTAGCAATGGAGCTGTGAAGCTAACATTTCTAACAAACACTAGAAGTCAATATTCACCTAAATCATTTCATGTCTTCATTAAGGTGGCGCAGACTTTTCAGTGTGGTGTACAACACAGTATGACATACTGTGGGCTATAAAAGTGAACAAAACGTCATCACAGAGTAAGTGCCGTGGGTGACCTCTCTGTCTCAGTAGTAGGATTGCTGATCTAGAATCGTTTTTTATGGAAATGACAGTCATAATTACTGATCCAACATCAGTCCTGTGCAGCCTTTGTGTTGCCTAAAATGGCCGTAGTGGTGAGGTTTTGTTCATTTCTATAGTTCAAAGTAAGTCATTCTGTGTTCTACACTACACTGACAAGTCTGCTGACTCTAATGGAGACCTAGATGAGGTTTGAGAGGGTTGAGAGAAGTTTTAGGGATGTATTTATGGAAAAACATCTGGGTTAATATTGTCTTCTAGTGTTTGAGCAATGTTACACTTAACACCAATACTAAACTAAAGAAGCAGAATCATTAATTGTAGTCATTTCAGTCAAATTTGATATTGGAATTTGTAAGGCATATAAAAAAGTCAAATAACAATACTGAGCTTTTCTGTGATGCTTCCTATGTTATATAGCTGCATTCTGTACTATTTACTACCCAGTTCGTTCTTTGGACTGTGCTTTATTCTTTTAACAAATAAACACTGACCAAAATAAGAGAGAGGCTTTTCAGTTCCCAGCAGTCTAGTACAGAGTTTAGAAATGAGTCTTAGGAGAATATATAAAATTAGAGACAGTATATAAAATTAGAGACAAGCTCAAGCCCTTTGCATTTAAAAGAACATATCACAACATCACTACTTTGCAGTTGTTTAGAAGCCCACTGAAATAAACATTTAAAAATAACTAAAAAAATAGATTTGTAATTATCAGTTGCCTCCTTACTGGCTACATTGCAGACAGGAAAATATTATGTATATTATATGGAAACATATTTCAGATTTGAAAGGTTTAAATATATGTGAATTAAAAGCTGTCAAAGGCCTTGTGGCATTGTGACTATTAATTGATAAGTAAGACTAAATAAGTAATAAGTATGATGTTAGAATGGCTTTCACCTTCCACAGATCTGTCTGTTTTTGTCAAGAGATTTTAATGCTTTGTGTGTGCATTAATTGTAACAGTCTTGTTTGTGTTTTATGTTAGCTGCAGTTCTGAAGTGGAACAACAAAGCCACAGCTCATGAGTTGGATTCTGCTGTGGCCGATCACCTCAAGCATGCCCCCTGCAGAGCTTTTAACTTTTTTTTTTCTTTTCTTGTTTGACTTCTCAGAAACTAAAATGCAAGATTTTGTCTTGTTAAATAATCATCTTGATCTCCTTTACATTAAAACATTGAAAATCATGTACAATACTGACACAGCTTATGGTTCAAAGGTTTGAAAATTCTTTCTGAATTGATGCATAGGATCTTTGTCTTAGTCCTAACGAAGTTCATGGTCCAGTTTTATGTTCCACAAATGAAATTAATAATAAGTACACGTTTTCAATAAAGTTTCCATTTAACAAAGTTTGTTTTATGTTTACATTGGAATCAAAATTGTTAGTTAACTACAGGAAGTTTTTTTGCATGGTAAAAAGGTTCTTCACATTGACAGATAATGCGCTGTATATGGTTCTATATAGAAATATTCATTCTATATAGCACCAAAAAAGGTTCTTCTATTGTACAGTGTATTAAGCATGAAATGGTTCTATATAGGATTCATGGTAAAGTGTTATCTTTTTTTGAGAGTGTACTAGTGGAAATTAATTTTGGATGACTTTTCAATGCCTTTTAATTTATAATTGATAATTTTTTCCAAGGCCTTAGAACACCTTAAAATGACGTTTTTACTGTGACTTTTTTGGTCGTCTTTTCAACAGTTAAGCTTGAACGTCTTTTCAAGTTTCATTTTCAACCATAAGAAAACGTAAATTAAACAGCAGGTATGTACGTGATTTCAACGTTAAATCAACGGCCTTAAAATGACGTCTTTAATGTGACTATTTTGGCCGTTTTTTCAACGGCTAAGTTTAGACGTCTTTTCAACTTTCATTTTGAACCTTAATAAAGCGTAGTTTAAACGGCAGTCAGATACGTGATTTCAACGTTGTTTCAACGACCAAATGTTTACTGGGTCTGTGTTTTAAACAGACATCTACGCAAATATACGTCCAGGATGTTAACACACAAAGTGCTTTGTTGATCAATTTGACAGCACGATTGGTTTGTAACAACAGATCTGTCGGTTGCTTATTTTCACATAGACATCTACCCGTACACAGAAAATTTCTCAGTTTTGCATTAAAGGGCACAGCCTATGAATACCTCTCTAGCCCCGCTGATGTTCAGCAAGGGTGTGGAAGCACGCTGGCTCCGTTGAGAAACAACGGTATCAGAATTTTCTCATACATAGATGATTACTTAATTTGCTCCCACTCAAAGGAGCAAGTGATCAGGGATTCCATCACAGTGTGTTCACCTGAGGAATCTGGGATTGAAAATAAATGTGAAAAAGAGTCGTCTCGAGTCCTCACAGTGTATAAAGTACTTGGGTCTCAACATAAACTCCTTCTCCTATCGAGCCAGCCTGTCGGAGAGGAGAGTAGTGTCATTCATGCAATGCCTAGCCCGTTTTCAGTTACAGAACACGGTTCCGTTAAGGCTATGTCTGCTTATGCTGGGTCTTATGGCATCAGCGATTTCAGTGATGCAGTGGGGGCTCCTCATGATAAGAGATTTTCAGCGATGGGCTGCGTCTTTTCACCTGTGCACCCGCCGCCACCTCAGCAGCCCAGTCAAAACAATGTTGGCTTGTATGACAGCACTCTGCTATTAGAGAAACTTCGCTGTTCTGACAGCAGGAATTCCTCTAGGGGGGTGTGTCCACGAGGATAACCTTAACGACAGATGTGTCCCTCTCAGGTTGGGGAGCAACTCTGATAGGCAGAGCTGTGAATGGCGTGTGGCCTCCACAGCTGAGTCAAGCACACATAAATTATCTGGAACTTCTTGTGGTGTTCTTAGCAGTGAAACACTTCAGGAAATTTCTCCAGGGCCAGCACGTATTAATAAAGACAGACAACTCCACAGTGGTGGCATATATCAACCGACAGGGCAGCACGCGCTCGCTGCAGCTACACAGGCTGATGAGAAAGCTTCTCCTGTGGTGCAGCACCCAGTTTTTATCCCTCCGCGCCACATGTGCCAGGAATACTGAACAGGGGGGCGGATCTCCTGTCAAGCGGAAATCCTTTGTACGGAGACTGGAGACTTCACCTGTAAGTGGTGGCTCAGCTGTGGCAGAGGTACGGCCAGGCAGCCGTAGATCTATTCGCCTCGCGAGAAAACGCCCCTTTGTCTTCTTTATTTTTCCCTGCTAGACGAAAATGCATCACTGAGTGTGGATGCTCTAGCCCACCCATGGCCAGACGTCCTTCTGTATGTGTTTCCACCCCTGAGTTTGATCTCCCCCACACTGGTCAGAGTGAAGGATCAGGGTCTGTCTTTAATTCTAATAGCTCCACACTGGCCATCCAAGCACTGGGTGGCAGAGATTGTCCAACTTCTTGCGGGCCAGCCTTGGCCCCTCCCACCACAGAGAGACCTGCTGTCACAAGCAGATGGGGAAATCTACCACCCACACCCAGACAACATGGCTCTCTGGGCCTGGCCCGTGAGAGGTGGAATCTAAATGCTGCAGGCCTGCCCCCTGCTGTCACTGATACAGTACAAAGCTCCAGGGCCTTCTCTACACATTCACTATATGGCAATAAATGGCGAGTGTTTGAGGATTGGTGTGCTCTGAGGAATATCACTTCCTTTCAGTGCTCACTAGCGGACTTACTCTGCTTTCTACAGGATCTGTTAGATAAAGGTAAAGGCCTTTCAGATAAGATAAAATAAGATAAGATAAGATAATCCTTTATTAATCCCACAACGGGAAAATTTGCGGTGTTACAGCAGCACAGAAGACAGAGTAGCAGGAAATATACAAACAATATTTAAATAGAATAAACAATAAAAGTATAAAGATATATATGTATAATATACAAAAATATACAAAGTATTAAATTTAAATTTAGAAATGTAGAAATGTATGTATTGTAATGAGTATTGCACAGTGAATAAAATAGCAAATAAATAAACAGTAAATAAATGGAGAAATATTCCACTTGACATAATTGCACATAATGGTGGTAAACTTGTTGACAATGATCCGCAGTGAATATACTACGCATGGTGTATTGAGATATTGCACACAGTAAAGTGCTATGGCAGTGATGTTGAGAGTTCTTGCACATGGAAAGTAATTGTAAACTACTGTCTACTGAGTGCCGTGACTGTTATAGAGTCTGACAGCGGCTGGGAGGAAGGACCTGCGGTATCTCTCCTTCACGCACCGCGGGTGCCGCAGCCGGGCACTGAAGGAGCTGCTCGCTCAGTGCTGTCAGAGAGCGGTGCATGGGGTGGGACAGGTTCTTCAGCATGTTTGTTAGCTTAGTCCTCATTCTCCTGTCCCCCACCACCTCCACTGGGTCAAGAGGACATCCCAGGACAGAGCTGGACTTCCTGATGATCTTATTCAGTCTCTTCCTGTCAGCAATGGAGATGCTGCTGCCCCAGCACACCACTCCATAAAAAATGGCTGATGCCACCACAGCGTCGAAGAAGGTCCTGAGAAGTGCCCCCTGCACGCCAAAGGACCTGAGTCTCCTCAGGAGATGTAGCCTGCTCTGGCCTTTCCTGTAGAGGGCAACTGTGTTGTCAGTCCAGTCCAGCTTGTTGTTGAGGTGAACACCCAGGTACTTATAGGACTTCACAATCTCAATGTCCATTCCCTGGATGTTCACAGGCACCGGAGGAGAATGTTTGGACTTGCGGAAGTCCACCACCAGCTCCTTGGTTTTTCCTGCATTGATCTGCAGGCAGTTCCTCTGGCACCAACAATCAAGGTCTACCTAGCAGCTATCTCAGCTTGCCATATGGGTTTTGGGGACAAGCCTGTGGGGCGGCACCCCCTAGTCTGTCGTTTTATGAAAGGGGCAGGCCGTTGGTCCCACCATGGGACTTGTCCTTGGTGCTGGATGCCCTTTGCTGTCACCCCTTTGAACCCCTGGAGGGTGTGGGGCTAAAGTTCCTCTCTCTCAAGACAGCCTTGCTTCTGTCTCTGACCACAGCAAAAAGGGGGAGTGACTTACAGGCATTGCCCATCCATCCATCATGTTTACAGTTTGACCCTTGCAACACGAGAGTGTGCTTGCGCCCCAATCCTGCATATGTGCCAAAGGTAATGGACTCGGCCTACAGATGCGTGATGGTAGAGCTGGCAGCTTTATACCCCCCACCCTTTGCGACTGTGGAGGATCAGAGACTGAACTGCTTATGCCCTGTTAGGGCCATATGTCAGTATTTAGTTAGGACGACGGACTTTAGAAGGCATGACCAGCTGTTTGTGTCATGGGCTGCTCCTTATAAAGGGAAGCCGTTGTCTTGCCAAAGGCTATCACACTGGATTTTGGAGGCTATAGCCCTGGCTTGCAAGTGTAAGGGCTCACAGCCACCAGAGGGCCTGAGAGCCCATTCTACTAGAGGCATGGCGACATCCTGGGCTTTGTTCAGGGGCGTGTCAGTACTGGATCTGTGCACCGCTGCAAGCTGGGCTTCAGAGAACACATTTTTACATTTAGATGTCACGTTTTTACAGGTTAGATGTCACAAGCCCATCCCTGGCGCATGCAGTGCTAGGAGATGATGCCTCCGCATCAGTGTAATGCAGCGCCATCACAGGGCCCTTGAGCTATGGATCAGTGGAGTAGCGCAATCCGGGAGTAGTCTAAATCTCCCATAGTGAAACACTAAACAAAGTTAGAAAAAGAATGTTGGGTTACTTAACGTAATGCCTGGTTCTTTGATAACAGAGTAAAGTGTTTCACCAACACTTCCCTCCTTGCTTAGGTACGGGAAGAAATCTCTTTAGAATGACTCAGTCAGATAGGTCGACCGTGGCTATAGGGGCAGGGGTGGAGCCGGGTCGCAGGTTGACCTGTCTGTCATGGACAGACGTGGTGCCATAATCCCCCCTCCACCAAACTTTATACACAATGCACAATGCAGTCAGACAAGTACCGTTCTCCTGGCAACCGCCAAAACCAGACTCGTCCATTGGATTGCCAGACGGAGAAGCGTGATTGGTCACTCCAGAGAACACGTCTCCACTGCTCTAGAGTCCAGTGGCGGCTGCTTTACACCACTGCATTCGACGCTTTGCATTGTGCTTGGTGATGTAAGGCTTGGATGCAGCTGCTCGGCCATGAAAACCCATTCCATGAAGCTGTCTACGCACTGTTCTTGAGCTAATCTGAAGGCCACATGAAGTTTGGAGGTCTGTAGCAATTGACTCTACAGAAAGTTGGCGACCTCTGCGCACTATGCGTCTCAGCATCCACTGACCCCGCTCTGTCATTTTACAGGGCCTACCACTTCGTGGCAGAGTTGCTGTCATTCCCAATCACTTCCACT